GGTTATAGAATTAAAAAAAGGTGAACTGAAAATAACTGAACCTGTGTGGTAGAACAGAGAAACAGCTGAATTCCATGCACAACAGAATAATTATTTTTATTTTCATTATTATTATATTAAATGGATTTTGTATTTAGTTGGGCATCTTCTTAGGGAAGTTCTGGGACCAGAATTTCAACTTCTTTCTCTCCCATTTTCTTTGTTACAGCAGGAGGAGGGAGTTATTTGATGATACAGTTTAGGAAAATACAGCAGCAGTCAGACCAAATAGAATCAGGGATGCTGCGATATAAAGTATAGCTGTCTTCTTCTCTGAGGCTTCCAGCTATTAGGGACTAAGCTTAGAGCAAAGATTCTGAATGCTGCCTGGGAGAGGCTGCCCCAGTTCCCGGTTTGGTTTTTTTACCTGTGTTGAGTTCATCTTCAATTTAGTAGAAGCTTCATTTTGGTCTCTGGTTTAATTCACTTCCTTCAATCATTTAAAAAAGATGATTGACATTTTTATGGGGCTGGAAATCAAATACAGGGCCTTTTTCTGTACATACTTGGCAAGTTCTCTACCTCTGAGCTTGTATCCCTCCCCGCTATGATTGACAGCTTGATTTATTTCTACTGTTAATCTATAAGCGTGACAACTATAAAATGAGATACTGTTATTCGTTTCCATTTCTTGAGCCCTTGATTGATTGGTTAATTTATTTGTACACTCATTTGCGCATTCATTCTGGATATTTATTGCTCAATGTTTACTGAGCCCCTTCTGTGTGCCAGAGACGTTCTTAGGGGATGAAACCCATAATGGTGCACAAAACAACAGTTTTTACTGCCATTGGGACCCATGGCAGAGAAGTCAAAGCATAGATCATAAAAGCCAATAGAATATAGAAGTGTTTATAAGTAAAGATGTATACAGTGATGAACGTTTCAGTATAGTAGAACGAAAGGCCTGGTGTGTATGAAAGAGATGGGATTTAATTCTGAATTAGGTGGTCAGGGAAGGTGCTCTTGGAGCAGAGAAGGGATGAAGGAGGGAGGATCAAAGCTTCAGCTGCCTGGAAAAAGGTCCTTGGTAGAATGAGCAGGGTGTGTACAAACCAGAGGCTGAGTGGCAGCGTGTGCTGGCAAAGATGTTGAAACTCACTCTGAGGACAAGCGTAGACTTCAGGAATTTGAGTGCAGGAGTAACCTGGCATACTCTGCTTTTCAGTGGCATACAGAACATAAATTCCTATGTCATGAAACTTTTAGTAGAAGACGTAGACATTAGAAACCAAATAAGTGAAATTCATAGGATGAAAGGTGATATTACTACCAGTGGATAGTCAGTCAAGGTGTTAGGTAACTCTGGATAGTGTGCCAAGAAAGTCTTTGGAGCCCCAGAGATGGATGAGAGTTGGTGTATGGGGGGACAGGTAAGAGGTTGTGCAGAGATACAGCCAGGACATAATGAGAGTGTTGAAAATAGATAGTAACAAGGACATGATGGGTCATGGTGGATTTGTGTCATATTTACAGGACAGCCCAATGTAACGATATCGGGTGTATAGTATGAATGAAAAAGAAGTCAGATACGGTGCTAGGATTTGGGGTTGAACTACTAGAAGGATGGAGTTGTCATGAATTACGGTGGGTAAGACCATGGGGGAACAGGTTTTGGAGACACTGTGAACTTAAGGTTTACCAGACCTACTGGGTAACCATGTAGAGCCGCTGAGTTAGCAGACGAGAGTGAAGGTAAAAGGCTGGAATGGAGTCCTTCTTTCCTGGTCAAGCCATCTTTTAGGCACCCTTTTCTACTCCTGCCAGGAGGCAGTGATAAATACAGGGCACATAAAGTGATTTCCTGGCTCAAGGGGGCCTCCATGTCTTCATGTTTCCAAGCCTGCTGACTTAGTCTTGGCATTCATAACTGTGAAATAACCACACAGCTCACAGTGTTGTGGGAATCAAATAAGTAAGTCTCTTCCATGAGTTTGGCATTGTACCTAGAATAAAATACGTTCAAAACAGAAGGTCTGTGTTATAATGGCAGTGGTGGCTATATAAAACTTCCGCTGTGTGCCAAGCACTGTTCAAAGTACAATATGCAATTTATTTAATTGCGAGAGAGAGGCATACAAAGAGACACAGAGAGAAAAAGAAATAGAGACAGACACACACAGAGATAGACATACAAGAAGGAAGGAAGCTGATTCTTTCCTGTCACCTTGTGAAATCCAGGGATTGGCACTGGTCAACAAGCTTAGCAACAAGTACCTTTACCCACTGAGCCATCTTGCCAATCCCATAATTCTCACATCTGAACCCCTACAATGCAGTTTCTTCACAAAGGCATGAAGACGACTGGAAGGTTGTCCTCTAGGTAGCAGTTGTCCAAGCTAGTGACCAAGCCCAGGCAGTCTGACTCCACAGTCTATAAACATAGAACACCAGATCGCACTACCACTCAAAGCGTGTTAGCCCTGGCTGCTCCTCTCCTGGCTTTTTCTTCCTTTTATTAAGGCAGTGTTTCTTAATCTGCTTATGGACCTGCTCAGAGTTCACTAGAGGTTGTTATTTATCAGACTTGTGCTTCTAAGGAATATTGTTGCCTCCATGTATTTTGCAAAGTATAATTTTGAATTGCCCCAGGAATGACCTACCTTTGCATTTTCCAGGACCCACTTCTGTCCCTCTCTGCTTCCTGTCCCTCTCTGATTTGACAGCCTGTCTTCTGTGTTTGAAGGGCATTCTGCGTTTGCTTTAGCCACACAGGGAATTAGTTCTGCCCATTTCCCAGGAAGAAAATCCTGGTTGAGTATCTATCCGCCATGGCTGCTGCCACTAGGGGGCGTTCTTGTTATACCGTTTCATATCCACACTCAACACAGTTAATAATTGTGTATCTAAGTGGCAACTCAAATACTTCGGTTCTTTTCCCACACCACAGCATGCGTAACATGTATTATTTCTAACAGATGTAAAAGATCACTACCTAGTACCTAATTTGATGAAGAATTAAAATCAAAATTAATAGGATGTTTTTGACAGTCAATAATTTGTAATCATGTAAAAATTAAAAAATATGTAGATGTAATCACAGTATATGTATAATAAAATGATAGCAATGGCTTTGGTGTATTTCTGAAAGCAACAGAACTATATTTTATAAGGAATACTTACTGAAAAATTAACAGCTTTAAGCAATAACAATTTACTACCAACTTCTGGAGGGAAACCAGGAGCAGTGGCAATGGTCTATACTGTTTGGGGATCTATGGAGCTGTCAGGTTGGTACTGACATAGAAACTTCCCCTCTACTGGCTAGCTTTCTTGGTGTTAGAAGGAGCTATGCATCCTCCTGAAGGAGAAAAGGAAACATCAGACATACTGTACGCTGCAATAGTGACTGGCCAGTCAAGACATGCCCCCTGGGACAACTGTGGCACAGACACCATGGGAGTAACCAATTCCCTTTTCATTGATTAAAGCCTGTTCCACAGGATGAAACCTACACACGGTGCCATTATTGGGCTGGGTCATAGGCCCTAGGTGAGAACCTACTGTTTTCCTGCTAAATTGACAAAATATTAAACTAATGCCGAATGACTTATCATGACACCCACAGATCAAGGCATATCCCACCTCTCACCAGAGGAGCTTCTGTCTCCAGTACGTGGAGATCAATACAGAAATCCATGACTGGCCAAGCTGCAAAGAATAAGAGACTGAATGATGCTCATCCCTAAATGGAACAGGTATGCTGTGTCCTGCCTCCCAGTGCTCAGGAATCACTGCAGAAGAGGAGCAGATAGACAGAAGGAAATGGGTTACTCTGGATACGTCAGGGCAGTTGCACGTGTGAGCGCACAATGGTTGTGATAGCACGTACAAGACCTGTCAGATGTAACCTAACACAAACTCCAGCATGGAGAGGGAGCTGGGCATGAAGTCCCACCCCCAGCTGAGGGAACAGAAGTGAGTATGAGCAAAACACATATGGAATTCTCAATGAACTAATAAATTAATTGAGAGTAAAAAACCTGCTCTTTCAACTCTAACAACAGGTGATAGATATATGGATAGATAGATACGTAGATGGATGATGTATAGATAGATGATAGATGACAGATAGATAGACAGACAGACACACAGATAGACAGACAGATAGACAGACAGACAAATATATGGATGGATAGTGTTCATGGGCCAAATCTACCTGCTGCCTGTTTCTACATGGCCTGTGAACTAAGAATTGTTGGTATATATTTTTTCTTACAACACATTTGACCATATTACTCTTCCCCCAACTCCTCCCAGACGCTTTTTACTTCCCTAAAAACCCACATAATTTGTTTCATTTTCTCTCTCAGTCCCCCAACCAAAAAATGATAATCAAAACAAACAAGACCAGCCTGGTCTACAAGAGCTAGTTCCAGGACAGGCTCCAAAACCACAGAGAAACCCTGTCTCGAAAAACAAAAAATAAATAAATAAATAAGCAAAAATCTCAATAAGACAAAACAAAAAAAGCTCACGTTAAAAAAACTTGTTAAAAAAGTTTATTTTGTATTGGTCCTCTACTCCTGGGCATGAGGCCTGCCCTGGAGTGCAGTTAATATAGGCAGTAACACTCCATTGGAGAACATCTTCCCTTTGTCAGCAGGCGTTCTGGTTGTCAGTGGAGCCTCAGAAAGAAATAGAGGTGGGCTAGAAGCAGAAGGTAGAGGAGGAAAGGGACCAAATTCCAAAGGGATGGAGATGGGTTCAGAGGAGGGACTCAGCAGCCAGGCTAAGCAGGGCTAAAGGTTACTTCAGGAAGGAGGCTAAAGGTTATCTGCTTGAGTCTCGGCCTTTTATGGAGGCTGTGGATCCCTGGTAGATGCTGGTTCTCTCTTTCTATATTTTTAAGGGCTAGAAAATAAAAATTTAAATACATGATATTTTATGGCACATAAAAAACCACACAAGGGTTTCTTTTCCGGTCGCAGGCGCTTCGGGAGCCGCCGATTACAGTCCAGCCATGGCCAAGTCCAAGAACCACACCACACACAACCAGTCCCGGAAATGGCACAGAAACGGCATCAAAAAACCCCGGTCACAAAGACACGACTCTCTCAAGGGGGTTGACCCCAAGTTGCTGAGGAACATGCGCTTTGCCAAGAAGCACAACAGGAAAGGCCTGAAGAAGATGCAGGCAAATAATGCAAAGGCCCTGAGCGCATGTGCGGAGGCCATCAAGGCCCTGGTGAAGCCCCAGGTGGTGAAGCCCAAGGTGCCAAAGGGCCCCAGCTGCAAACTCACCCGTCTGGTTTTAATTGCTCACCCTAAGCTTGGAAAGCAGATTAGAAGCTACATGGTCAGGGGTCGTAGGCTCCAAAAACCAAAGCCCAAGTTTCAAGCCAAGGCAGAGGCCTCAGCTGCAGCTCAGGCTCCCAAAGGTGCCCAGGCCCTTGTAAAGGCCCCATAAAGAAGGTCGCAGTCTGCCAATGTGAAGACAGATGGGCTGGTGTGAACACCTACACAGTATTTGCAGTTGTTCAGGACCTTATGCTGTTTTTACAAATAAACTTGAGGCAAGTTCTGTTACAAAAAACAAACAAACAAACAAAACCAAGGTGTAGTTTACAGTGTGTGTAGGTCATAGTTTGGGTCGTAGACGCCTAACCAAAAGCTCACATGTTAAGATCTTGACTGTTAATGGAGATTTTAGGGGGTGGTGGAACTTTTGGGAGGTGAGGACAACTAAACCCCTCATTGGTAGAGCTGTACTTAATGAAGTTATTGAAACCCTGGCCCCTATCTCTCTGACTTTGTTTCTTTGTCACCCAGAGACTCTTCTTGCTACAGGCCCCAAATCAACAGATTCCTTATCACTCATGTGATGGAAGCCATGAAACAAAGCCCAGATAAACCTTCTCTCTTAAATCCATGATCTCAGGCATTTTGTCACAGCCACGGAAGTCTAACAATCATAAATAAAATTTTTATTAAGATAAACATGCATTCACTCTGCTGATGGGTGGTTATTGAGGTTTTACATTGTAGGTAAGCCCCACTAATCCTCTCAGGATCCAGAAGGATCGCTATAGCAAGTGAAAACTGGCTAAAGCTATCTGAGGGTAAATAAAAGAAATTAGCTCACATAAGTCTGTTAATCATGTCTCATTTATTCTTCCTATAGTATCCAATGCTCTTTTTTTTTTAATTTATTTATTATGTATACAATATTCTGTCTGTATCCCTGAAGGCCAGAAGAGGGCGCCAGACCTCTTTACAGATGGTTGTGAGCCACCATGTGGTTGCTGGGAATTGAACTCAGGACCTTTGGAAGAGCAGGCAATGCTCTTAACCACTGAGCCATCTCTCCAGCCCCTCCAATGCTCTTTTAATGTTCCCCATTTGCTGTTTCTTGCTGTTCTACCCATCCCTCATGGTTTCAGTTTATATACCCACACAGGCAATTAGCAAGCATGCATTTCATAGGATCACAAAGGCAGGAAAATCTGACAAGGAAGCCTTAAGACTCAGAGGGGGAGGCGTGGCTGTGAAGCTCCCCAGCAGATGCCAAGAGGAATAATTAAAAACAGGACTCTAAACCAATACTCTAAACCAATACAAAATTCTAAGCAGAAGAAGTTTTCATGCATCAACTACGTCTCTTATGAGTAACTAGTTAATCTAGATGTTTGTGATTAATAACTGTAGAAAACTCAGCAGTGTTGCTGCTCTTTCTGAGGATTTCCACTTATTTCCCTAGCAGCTCGGAGCACAGCATTGTGGTAACCATAGCAACCTGGCAGGAAGACAGAAGTGTTTGCTAGCTGAGTTAAAGGGAATTTCTTTGGAGACTTTGCTCTCAGCCCCTATGGGGTGCCTGTCAGCACCCAGGTGAGAAGGAATTTCTTTCTCTGCGGTTGGTTAAGTGACCCAAGGTTCTTTCCTGTATCTCTTAAGGGTAAAAGCACAAACAGTTAATTTCCTAGATTAAGACCTTGTGTCAAATGAATAAGTACAAAAAATTAATAGCTTGTTAGGGTAGCGCAAATGCCAGGAGATTACACCTTCCTGAATCTGCTGCTAGAGAATTCAGGGCCACCCAGTCATGTTTATGAATAAGAGCAAGCATACTGTCTCTCTGCTCCATGCTTCCTGCTTAGGGCTCCTTTCTTGTCTATGAGTCCGGTCAAAAAGGATAGTTGTGGGGGTCTAGCTTTATGTGGATTTGACGATGGGAACAAAGGTTTGACTGTGTGAATGCTTCCACACCAGGGCCACATGGCGTGGAGAAAAGTATGCAGTTGCCAGTACAGGAAGAGTCAGGCTTAAGGAATGGTTTATACACTGCTGGGATATTTTGGGATGAAACCAATTGTGGAAGGGAGAAACATCATGATTTCATAAAGATTTCTACAGAGTTGACAGTAACCATCCAAAAGACGGGTGTTCCCGAAGCTTTCCAAGTCGGGTTCTCCACCAAGTCACACTCCTGTGGATCGGTCCACGGATCCGACAGCTGTGCTTTACTGTATAGTGCTAGTCTTGTGGCTCTCATAGGATGGTTGCCTTCATGCTGCAACAAAGAAGAGTTGTGAGAAAGGCTGTATAGCCCGCAGAGCCCAGCGTAGTTGCTCTCTAGCCTATTAGTAAAGCTTTGACCCTTGAAACTAACCAGTAAGTAATGGCACACATAGCTTTGCCTAGATGGGCATCCTCATCACCGGGCTGCGGTCTGTCTCTCATCCACTCGCCGCATTTAGAGCCCTCATCTGACGGAGGATGCAGATCTCCATCAGAGGCCAGTGAGATAAGGACATTCAGCTGAGTCATGCACTGCCCTTTCTGTCTCGATGTGGACTTCCTTTCAGAGCAAGACAGCTCTGGCAAATAGTTGACTTGTTTTCCAGAAACAAAGGTGGCGAGTGTGTGGGTGCGTTTTAAATACGAGGCGAAGGGGCGTGCTTGTTTGCCATGAGAAAATTAATGCACTGTTGATTTTTTCTTAAATATTTTTGTGTGGAAGTTACAAAACACAAAGAAGAATAGATAAGAAATTTAAAAAAAAATACTTAGAATCTTGCCTCTCGGTGATGACTGCATTCTGATATCAGTTTACTTCATGGCTTAGGGGAAAGAGCTGCAGCTTACTTTTTTTTTGTTTTGCTTGCAAAAGACAAATTGATATCAGTCTGCAATTGGCTGAAGAGTGATTCTAAGGTGGGATGTTTCTTTGTTTTTATACAGTTTCTCATGCTGTCCATGTTGGGTTGAAACTCCGGATTTAGCTGCCTTATACACCACCAAATTTTGCCCAATAGTTTTGCAGGTAATTAAGAATCATTGGAACTAATTTGAGATTCTAGTCACCGAGGCTCAGGAGGAGGGAGGTATTTTACTATTGTTCTGACAGAGGCCAAGACTCTGAATTTGCCAGTAGAGGGCAGCAGTTCTGTGATTGAAAACACGGCTTTGAAAACAAACAGGGTTCTAAGGTTGGGAAATCCATGGACTCAAAATTTCCCAATAGCTGAATTTGCTCGTGGAGCCAAAGATCCATGGGATCCAGGATGGGGTTGAATCTCAGAGATTCCCAGCATCCCCACTTGGAGCTATGCAGATCATAAGAAGCGTGTGGTGGAACTTGGTGCAACATCCTGACAGAACTGAACTGAATAGAGGGGACATGGACTCTCCGCAACCAGGAAGGAGAACTGAGTGTGAATGTAATGTCTATTTCATTTTATTGTTCATGTTATGCTTACATTTTAAATCTTGAACTTACTTCAATTTTCATTTTTATGTAGTATATGTCTTTAAACTCTTTTAATATATTTACCAAGTGTACATTTGTACTTTAAGTGTTCACTTGATATGTTGTATGTCATTGGGAAAGGCTCATCTATCTGTCTGTCTTTCCCTCAGAATCTGATATACGGTATTTTCTGCACTACCTTCATACCTCTAACACACATACATTTTCATCATGGCTATACCATTTTGCCTCCTTCTCCTGATTCTCATTTTGCTATTTGAATAAACTGATTTCCACAAAACTGTTAACTATATTTTACGCAGCCAGCACCTCTTCTTCTGTCTCCACATCTTCAGGGGACTGATATGGAAAGAACAGGTATCTTCTGCAGCACACACTGGGACTGCTGCTAAGGCCATCACCGCTGGATTGCAGTTGACCGATGCTCTGGATGTAAATGCAACTCAGCAGAAGGACTCACTTGAAATAAAGAGAGGGGATACATACACAACAGAGAAACTCAGAAGACATGAGATGTCATTCCACTCTGAGACACTTCACAAGCCAAATGCTTCCAGAGGCTGGAGGACACATGACAAAGGAGCTGAAATGCCAGAAAAAGAGTCAAGAGGCCCACATTCCAAAGGAACCAAACACCAAATAGAGGACTCAAATGTACACGGGGGATTTAACTGAGGACTTAGACAAGGATGTTATGAATCAGTTAAAAACTTAGACAAGAAAGTTATCAAAGTGGATGAAAGAATCAGTAACACGAAGGAAGATTAAAAAAAATAAAAGAAAAACTCAGGTAGAAAATTTAGACACCAAAAAAAAAAGGAAATTCTAGAAAAGAAAGAAAAAAACAATCAAATAGAAAACACAGTAGGAAACATCAACAAGACCAAACACAAGTATATAGTTCAAGAATGGGAGGACAATGTCAAGACAATTATACATATAGACACACAAAGAATAAAGTTGGTAAATATAGGAGCCAGCCAATGTAGGAGCCAGCCAGGATAAGCTAAATAGAAACAGGCCACCCAAAGGAAGTTCTTTACTTCCTATCATTATCACCTGCCAGATTTGGACTCAGCCATCCATAAGTTTAATGGAGGCCTGAGTCTCAGTAGTTTACCCTGCAGCAATACCTGGTTGCAGGAAGAACCACAAACTGAGATTACCCAGGCACCACCCAAGAACAGATCATCCAAAGGAAATGCCCAACGTTCCAACTGCTGTAGATAGGATCACCTGCCAGCACACTCACCAGGACACCCCTAGACAAATGCCAGCCAATCAGGGGTCCTGAGCCTTAGAATTCCCTCACCCCCACCTTTACTACTATAAAAATCCAACTCTAACTGAGCTCTGGTCTCTCGGTTTATTCCAATACATTGGACATGTGGAGAGACTGAGCTTGCAAACTTGTATAAAATAAAGGCTCTTTGCTTTTACATATGGGACTTGGTCTCCTTGTTGGATTTTGGGGGACTTTGTGGATCTGGACATAACTTTGGGGGCTCATCCAGATCCCCCAAGCCCGTAGAGCCTTCAACCAGCAGGTAATTTTTCTGTGTTTTGTTTCATGTCTGTGTCTTATGTCTTTCTGAAAGCGGGCCCAGGAACTGTAAGAGCTTGTAGACTATCTAGGCGATCTAGGTGGATGTGCAAAAATATCACAGGTGGGGTCCCTGAGGAGATGTCCCCAGGGCCCTTCTGCACGAGGGTGGGCCCGTCTGGTTTCTGTTGAGAGACGTGCGGGATGCATGTCTCAGTTCTGTAGAGAGACATGTAGGATGTTCCTGATGTCTCAG